GTCACCGCGGTCAGCACGTGGCTGTGGCGACAGCGGCCACTGCCATGGAACCCAACGAGTTTCTGGCTGACGATCTGCTGTGCTTGACCTCAGCCTCAACCCCCCAAAAAAGCAACAAACTCAAGATGTGAAGCCTGAAACCAAACCTAAAGGCAACATATGGCAACTTTACAGAATTGATAAGCGACGCCAATGAACCCCCACCATGGATGGACTGGTCCCTGACTGCGCGACGTTGGCGGCGTAGGATTCGGTTCAGGACGCTGCGACGTGGGCTGGGCTGGAGATAGGACTCGTTCGATTGGTGACACGTCAGCTGGGTGATGCACAGCTCACAGCCTTGCCAGTGTTAGCAGTGATTCCAGTTGAGGTATTGGAGAATGCCCTTAGTTCGGCCACCAGGGGAACCCGAGGCTTGAGTGAGACAGAGAAGGCGCAATGGCGGCCACTCATGAGTGCTGTGAGGGTGAAGTATGGAGCGTCACCTTTGTACAGAGCAGGGTCTACAAGTGCAGTTGCGGCCACACCGGACACCGCCTTCATCAGTGGAGGGACAGGCGGCACCACCAAGCTCAAGTTGAAGATGAGCCAAATCATTGATCAAGGTGGTGTCGAGGTTGAAGTGTTGTCGGGGCCAGTTTTGCGCAAGAAGCGAGCAAAGTATGCACTAGTTGAAGGTGACATTCCGTTGGACAAAGAGGAGGCTTCGGAGGACGGGGGTTGTTCTGTACTCGCGGAAATCGGATCGTCTGTACACGCGGCTTCCGTATGCGGGGTGCCTAAACAGCGTGGCCATACTTTGGGTTCTTACGGTAGGTGCAAAGGCCGGGTGTTGATCCAGATGTGTGTGAGCCCCACCCCTCCCCACCCCACCCCACCCCACCCCACCCCAACCCCACCCCACCCCACCCCACCCCACCCCACCCCACCCTTCAACATTGGGATATTAATATTAGATATGAGCGCTAGTCGAAGTGAACGTCATTAGCCCCACCCTACCCCACCTCACCCCACGCCATGTGCGCTGTGTGCGCGGATGGTCCAGATTTGTGTGCGCAGATGATCCAGATTTGTGTGCACAGATGATCCTGGCTGTGTGCGCAGGTGATGCTGATCGGTGCGCGCAGATGATCCTCTGTCCGGCTTCGGATGCCCTGTTGACTTGCTGGTATCACCAAGTGCAACCAGGCCAAGCGCCACTTGTTGACATGGCAGCCTGGGGAATGGAGAGCGCACAGCACGAACAATGAGATTCGTGTCGCAGCCGTGGCGTGATGGTCAGTGGAAGGCAGTGGGCGCGCTCGCAAGGATGATTGAGTTCGAGTGTTGTCCGGACACAAAAGCTGACAAAGCTGGATGTGTAACTGCTGTGAACTGCCTCCTGCTTGCGCATCTCCTGCGCCCAAAACTTTGTTCGACAGCTAATGAGGCCTCTTGTGGCCCAGAGAGGTTTAACCGGCCGGAAGTCTAGAGGGCCTTTAGGACCAGGGCTTGACATCCAAGAGCCGCTGGTCTTGAAACCCATTGGGGGCTGAAAGTTTGAGAGGTCTGGAGGCCTAGAGGCCATGAGGCCGTGAAGTCCAGGCAGGTCCTGAGATCTAGAGGTCTTGGAACTCCAGGTTTGGAGGCCTAAAACCTGGATGTCTCAAGGTCTAGAGTTTGAGAGGCCTAGGGGTGCAGCAGTTTGTGATGTGTAGGGGAGGCCTAGGGAGCGCAAAACATTGATTTTTTGCTCAGACGTTTTGCGGCCCAAAAACTCTACGTGCACAGGCCTAGAAATTTCGCTATTTTTGAAGATTTTCCGCAACGCGGGAAATCGAAGTCTGGTAGGGGGAGGGTCGGGAAAATGTAGCTTGAGACCTGGCAGGCCTGAACTTACATTTTTAATCGTCCCCAGCGTGTCCCCCTGAATTAATTACAATATAGTATACACCAAAAAATTGTGATTTTTTCCAGGAAAGGGGTTGGATACAAAAGCCAAGACGGGATCCTCGTTCGCCTCCGCGCCCGGCGTGCGCTGTCCGCTGTCCCCACAGCGGCTGCTGCTGGGTGGCGCCGCCGCAGGTGGGGCCTCCGTAGCGTCACCGCCCAGAGCACGCTGTGCCCCACCCGCCTTGGGGATGACTGGCGCGCGCCTATATATAGTCCTGTCCAGCTATTAACATCACGCGCGCCCCCCTATTAAGAGAATCTCGGCCCCTCCTATTAAGAAAACTCGGCAGCATTTTTAACAAGGGTCCCTGAACTTGGGGGGGTCCAAAACAGGGTCACCTGGGAAGAGCTTCAAAAACAAAAACTAATCCAATTGTTTTCTCAAATGTAATCCCTTTTAAATAGAAATCATATCAAAAATACAGACACATCAAGAACGAAGGGGCTTCCTTTCCCGTAGGAAAAAACATTTGAACCCTGGTTCTTCATTAGGCTTTGCACGACCTCGGTGGAAAATGCGTTTGCGTGAGCCCGTGCCATTGGAAGAAACTGGTGTAAACGCGGCGTCGTGGTGGATGCACAGGGCGGACAGATGTAGGCAGGTACAGTTGTGTCTGGAACCTAAGTTGAAAAACTACCTCCAAAGGCGACCATATGTGTAGTTTAGTAAAGCTTGAAAGGGCGGTAATGTATAGACAAAAATAACCGAATGTAGGGTTTCGGATTTTTTTTATATGGTGGAGATTTCTTTATAGGTACTTGGGAAAAGCGCGCGTGAGCGAGCGCCTCCGAAGGAGTGAATAAATGTTTTGCATGTAGGGAGTCAATTTTGTAAGACCTCTGCTTCAAGGAAGCGTGCTCGGGGCTTGCCATTGGTAGGTTTTTTCCGTGGGGTGATTTCCTGGTTGTTGTGTGGGGTGCGAGAGGCCGAGCGCGCAGCTTTCAGGTCGTAGCACACATGCCCACACTCAAATTTCTTCCAATTGATCGGCCGGTTGCTGGTGTCAATTCGCAGCTGTCACCTTCAGTGCGCATAGAAGTTTGCCACCCAAGAACTCGCGTGAGTGCTAGACTCCTGGGTCTGTGTTTCACGACGGGTCGTATCAAGAGCCTGGGGGTTTGAGGCCTAGAGTCTGGGTGTCTCGTTTCCGTTTAGATCTGGAGGCCTGGGGGTCTGGAGGGCCAGCGCGTCAAGGTTGACAAAATCCTTTGCGTGCCAGGACATCTGCATGCCAACGGCGCGTTCACAGAGCACACAAAGCCCCGTTGGGGCAGACGCCCGTTGGGGCGGGTGGTTTGGATTTCAGGTTCGTACCCACATACGGGATCATTTTATGAAAACCAAAATGTGTCAAACAAACTTGAACATGCCTGAACAAGCAGTGACCTTTTGAACCTGGCCCTTTCATTGTCTAAAGAAGTGGTGCCCTCATTCTAGAAAACACATGGAAACATATGGCAATCGATGAGGTGTAGTGCTGATCATTTTTATGCGAAATCCAGTTGACAATGTAGTTTCATACACGTTTACTAATATACGACTTTACGGCGTTTTTTTTGGAACAGTTTAACTAACACAGAATCAAAGAAACAAATCGTTGACAATCAATGTACTTGGTGTCCACAACTCTCCACAACCCTTGTGTTAGGAAATGGTTAGTTGAAAAAACGCTTGGTTCCAGGATGGCTGCAAACAGAGAAATTGTGTATATAATAAATCACAATGGGCTGAACCATCAATGAGGGATTGCAACCAGGATCGTTGGAACCTGGCGTCATGATTTGATACATACGTTCTTTGCCCATGGTTCTGTCATTTTTTGAAGACACTTGGTGGAGACCCAGGGCCCCTTCCCTTAACTCTTGGTTCCTCAGCGGCAGGGGGGTAGGTAGTACATAGTGCGCAGACAGTGTTTTGGTGAGAAAGAATGCATGTAGTTGGTTGGAACATATTTTTCATTTTCTAAAAGCACCTGGTTCTGCAGTTTGTAATGTATTTTTTCGCCTCATTTCATAAACACTTTGCCTTTGAACATGCAAACACTTCAGAAACACATTGAGTTAGAGGAATGATTTTGGAGCACTGCTCCCTGTGTTTCCGAGACGTTGGCATTGTGCCTGCGGCTAGCCACACGGCTGGCTACACAATGCGTACAGCGTGCGAAATGTGTTTCCGACGTCGCGTATAGAACGCGCATTGTAGGGGTCGTGCCATGTCGTGCCTAAAGCCGGCGAATGAATTAACATTCACTGGCGGTGTTGTGCGCGTGGCTCTGGCTGCCTGCTGCCCCGCGGGATGGCCTTGAACATTCAATGGTCTGTTGTTTTTGCGCCCTTACTGCCATTGCAGTCTACGTTCTGTCACCTGCATGTCTAGCATGTCGCCCCCCCCTCCGTGTTTGGGCGTCACTTTGCGGCTCCTTCAGCAAAACCAGCGGGGTCACCTTGGCACCCTACTGATTCCCGTGCAGGAGGCAGTGGCTGACCGTCACCACCTTAGTGTGTGATGTCATCAAAGTGTATTCCCTCAGCCTGGCTGGGTTAGATTTTAACATATCGATGCAAGCAAGGAAGGGGCAGACAGGCACGCAGGCAGACAGATATGCACATGACCGGACTCTCCCTTTCCTACCTTTTTTTCTGGCCTTGAAATGCGCTGTCTCGACATGTTTTTGACTGACATCCTTTCGGCCACTTTGCTTGCCCAACTTGCCATGAAAAAATGATTCATTATTGACACCAATGGCAGAGTTTCAGTTTTGAGACTTTAGCGCCAAGTGGGTTGGATGTGAACGCGTGGCGATGCGGAAATGACATGTGATGTTTGCGCGTGCAGCTGCAGCAGGTTCATGACACAAAGTGGTGCATATGCCAAGGTTTGTCTCAAAACAACGAGATGGGAGTTGGATGCTGCATCATGACGTTTCGCAGCAGCGATCGCAATTACACCAGGAAAACCGCATGAACTTAACCAGCATGAAGGGTAACAATGCTTGAACGCATGACGGGCTTGCACGGTCACTGCCAGAAATACATAGAAATTGGAAGTTAATTCGGGAGTCTGTCATTGTTGATGGGTAGTATGCGCTGGGAGCTTGTGCCATGGCAATGATCAAAACATGTGCGGGGCAAAGGCTTGCTTGAGGCCATGGTGGATTTCAGCATGACTGTGCACAATATATTTTTTGTTTTTGTCGGGGTGGTGTTTTGACGGTTTGGTTGTCATCAATTGTCGTAATTGTGTTTGATGGTTGGCGCGTTATGTTTCAGTTGTTGTGTGCTTCAGGCTGTTGGCTGCATGGCAGGATGTGGCTTTGCAAATTTCATCGGTTCACTGGGATTGAGGAATCTAAATGCTGAGGGTTTGCATCGCCGCGGTGGTGTGTGTGTGTGTGTGCGTGTATGTGATAATATGTTACACTGAACGGCCGGAAATATCAATGAAATGTAGGGTGCTCGTAGTTGAGACAGTCCTTTGTTTGAAACCAATGTGCAACAGTCAACAGTGCCGTCGGCAATTGAAACTTAAGGATTCCTGCAAATGACCAACGTCAACATCGGCGTTTAGGCCTCCTGCAGTGCGCGTTGCGAAGGCACGTGGTTTACGTGTTGGTTGACAAAGACAAGTGTGTTTTTGGGGCTGTGGGGTCCAGCATGTTGGGAAAACTGTTTCAGGTGCGCGGTGGTCTTGCGGATTGGTTTGGCATTGAGCAGCTTGATTTTGTTGATCACCGTGGGTGGTAGTGAGGACAGGGTTTGTAACACATGTTTGCGTGATTCATGACAGCCGGCTGACCCAGATCCACACCCGCTTGTTGACGCACATTGGTTGAACTGCCTGATTTTGCAGGATACAGTGGTGAATTGCACGGTCCTTGGCTTGTGCGTAGGCCTCCGCTCCTATGGTTCTGCTTGTGTGAGGGTGCATCGATGTTGAGTTGTCACAAGAAGTGAGAAGATTTGTGGAGGATTGGGTGTGGGCGCAGCTTTTGGAGTTTGGTCGCTTCTGATAGCCGTGAAGCACTGGTGCCATCCGATAGCTGATCCCAGTGGAAACTGACCTGCATATCGGCGCTTGTCATGCTCTTGCCGCAACTCGCGATTTTAAAAGATCAGGCTGAAGGAATAAGGCTTAGGCTGGAAGATAGTAGTGCTATGTAGTGCTCCATTGTTCGGCTTGTTTTGCGGCCCCACCTCAAGCAAGGACACATTTGGCAATACTTCCTGCACTTGCTTTGCGTTTGGGCTGGTGTGTTCACGATCCTTGGCACAAATGGTTTTTACCGACAGCCAGCTGTAGCCCAATCCACTTCTTTGATTTCGTGCAGGTTTTTCGCCTTCGTGAACTTGGCCCCGATTTTTCTGGTGCAGACCTTGGCTTGCTTGGCAGCCGCTTCCTTTGCTCTGACAGTTGGGAGTGTATTGCTCCGGACTTGGTGGAGTTTGGTCCAGCACCTAGTTGATTGCGAAGCGATGCAAAGCACAGGATGTCATGTCCAGAAACCACCAGAACCTACATAAGACCAAAGGTACTACCCACACATGCGATCGCGATCAATGTCACATGTTTCAACATTGCATGAACCAACTCCTAAGGCATTGGTACCTTATTGGGCTGAACGCTTTGGGCTTTTGGTCAGCATTGCTGCATGGAGTTTTGTGGCTTTGTCGTGGCACTGGGAGAGAGTTTTGCACCGACACGTATTTCCACCACTAGGGTGCCTAGAAGTTTTGAATGTTCGTGACATCTGAGGCATACGTGGTGCTGCTTCTTCATCGCGAAGTTAACGACCATTTCGCAGGGCTTTCTGCACGATTGAGTCGTGAGGAGCACTTGGTCCTTTTCAGTCTCCAGCCGCAATTAGAACCTAGAAGCGATGGCCTCCAACCTAGTAGCGATGGCCTCCAGGTTAGAGATTGTAGCGACATTTGAGCAGCCATGTTTGAGGTGTCACGCTCCGTCACCGCCGTACGCTGTTGCTTCCGAGCACGCTGCAATTTTCATTTGGATCATTTGGTTTTTGAAAGTGGCGTTTCCAAATACCGGGGGCCGTGGGTGAGAGCATGAGATGGCGTATGGTGGTGGGCAGGGGTATAGTGATGTACTTGGCATTGTTGCGATGTGATGCACTGCGTGTTGGGTCCGTGTTTTGGAGGATGCACAGCCCAGCCGTTGGTTGGTTTTGTGCGTTCGGAACAATCGATTGGAAAACTTCCGTTTTCTGGCTTACAGGATAAGGTTTGATTTTTGTGGAGCTGATGTTCTGGACAAATCTGATGAACGGGTGCATGAGGTCATGGAAGGAGGGGGTGGGGTGGGGTGGGGTGGTGGGGCCAGGATGATAATCTGATAATCTTCACACATCTTCACCCTGGATTTCTAAAAGATTCTAACACACGGCTGATGTTCTGGATGATGGGATGAATGCATGAAGGGACGGTGTGGGTGGGTGGTAGGGGGTGCGGCCATGGCCAGCATGAACACGTTCCCATTAGTAACTGCTGAGTAGCTCTACCGACCTGACAGCATTCCTTGAAATAACGTTTTGTCGTACTTGCTCTCAAATCCCTTGTCAAGAAAGTTGCAAACACAGGTGTGTGGGTGCATACTACAGTACCACCATGTTTGAGGTCGTTACTCGCCCATTTCCAAGCTGCTCGCTTGGCCACCGAGGCTTTGGAGGCTTTCTCATCAGTGCCGCAGCATGGTTCTTGGCACTGCTATTGCCATGTGGCCGTTGCGCCTTGCAAGGCACGTGGAGATGAGAGTTGGAGCTTAGAGTAGACCTCGCCGCTGTCCTTCCGTTTTTCTATGGGTGGCAGGACGTAAAGTGGAAGTAAAGGAAGAGAGCATCAGCAGATATCCTTCGAAGGAGGCCTTGGGCAGACGGACAGAGGGGGTGTTTGCAGGACACCATCGGATACCTGAAGAGTTGGAAAACTTGCGAAACTTCTATGCAGTTATATATTTGTATACAACTAAGGTAGGCCTTTTTGTGCAAAGTTTGTCCAACGAATCATAATGCATTTTGCCCACGCTGCAGGAACCTGTCCAAGACGAAGCAGCTTTGGAGGTTGATACAGTCGTGGAAATCAACGATGTTCCGGAAGAGGCAATTTGTCAGACCATGTCATATCAGAAAGGGATGAAAAGGCTTCACCCAACAACATGTAAAATCATCTAAAGATTTCTTCACTTCCAATGCAGCCCACCGAACTTGTAGGTGGAAGAGAGCGATGCTGATGCACGTGAACTCTCCTTGTCCGAAGACTTTCAAGACTCCACCGTGCAGCCGCTGCATCCTGTCTCTCCATCTGATCTTCCGGGAGAAGTGTCTCCCACATCGGAGGACGGAGTTTGCGAAGCACACACACGCCTAAACGGCATGTCCGGACGTTCATCCGGACGTTCATCATGTGGCCGTTTTTGTTTCTCAATGCAAGAGGAAATCAAACCGTCATGCAGCCATTTGCCCTTGTGGTTCTTTGCCTGTGCAGCTTGTTCATGACAAGGAGGAGAAACAAGTTGCAAAACCATTGTCTGGAATCTTGGCTACAATCCCCAGAATCTAGTCTGGACATGGACATGTCTGGGGTTCAACCATTTTGAGCACAAAACAGCTTGAACACTTGTTGGCATTCCGGAAATCGCCGCACATCGTTGGACATGCTCAGGTGGATCGACCGCTGCACCGTTCCCGTTTCCGAGGGGCCCTTCCAGGCCATGGCTGGTGTTCAAATACGTTTGTTAGTTAGCAGTGCTAAAAGTGGCCTACATATGCCCTCTCGACATACATAATCCTCCGTATATATATATATATTTATGTATAACTAATACTATGAATGTAATGTAATTATATGTATATGGAACTATTTACATTCTGAACTTTATAAGCAAATAGTGTGGTTATTGACCATGTATATGATATATGCATATACTGTATCATACGTATTTTTTATGTATATTTATACGTACCTGTATAAGATGTCCTTCATTTGTTTCCTTCTTTGGAACGCAACCCAACCAAGCATTTTGTGCACTATAGCTACTATATAAATTTGATATTTTATTATACTATATATTATATATGTATTTATATTACAGTATATTATATCATATATGTGAAAGGTTGCAGTGACGAAGAGTAAACTTGACTGAAAACATATAAACAAGATCTGTGTTTTGGTGGCAGTGTGTAGACCAACTTCGTTCGCAGCACCATGGGTGGTGCAAGAAGATGAGCTTCCAGAAGATCGTAGAACAACAACAGAATCAAACACGTGGCATACAGAAGATGGCACAAATGGAGGGTTCAGACATCAACAGCTATGGCATGCTATGGCACTCGTTCACTTCTCAACTCACAACTCCCCCGAGGCCCCGCAGGCGCGAAGAAGCCTGGGGATCACCCACACGGGGACGTGTGCAGGGGACAGGCCTTTCAGCGGTGCCAGAGGGTGACGAAGACACCGTGGAAGGAGCGGGCGTTCTCTTGGGGAGCAGACCACGGCTGGACTTGGAGAGGGCTGGGAAGGACACTTGTCACACTTGTCATGTTTTTGTTAATGAACCGAGGACTTTTTGCTTTTCAAGCGCCAAGGGTCTTGCTGTGGACTTGAGGGCGATTCCAAGGCTCTTGAAAAGACATTTGTGCTGTTTTTTTGTGGGCAGGCATCGCATGATTACTGTATTTTAAATATAGCTTTCATAGAATAAGTGTTTAAGCGTTTCACAATGTTCCACACGTATGGAAAAAAACCAGGAGAGCTGCAGGAAGTCTCCCCAGTGCCCCGCTGGAACATCCAAGCCTTTCTGAGCAACGCTGGCCCAGCCTTTCGGCCGAAGTGGGAAGTCGAGATGAGTTGACACAGTTTACCCGCAGACACCAAGTCGCCCCATGTCGCCCCCAGGCCAGACCTCTAGAGGCTTGCAGCGAAGAATCGGAGATCTCGGAGGAAGCGCGGAGCCGAGCTTTCATTCAGACAGTTGGTATAGATAGATGGATAGATGGATAGATGGATAGATGGATAGATGGATAGATGGATGGATGGATGGATGGATGGATGGATAGATTGTTTGTTTGATTGATTGATTGATTGATTGATTGATGCTGATGGTTGTGAGACAAATTATGGATAATGGATAACGCCACTACTAGAAGCTGAATCTTCTGAAGATTTCGGACTTAGAAAACGACACTGCTTTGTCTTAAACAAGAGGTGGAGTACTTCCATGTGTGGAGTCTGACCCCACGTCCAGGTCTTTGAAACCGCCGCCGCGCCGCCGGAAGCGGCAGAAGCCGCGTGCCTTCCCGAAGCGGATTCGCCTCATGGCTTGCCATCGCCCTGTGAGGATGCTTGGACCACGTGCTGTTTCAGATTGGGAAGTCTAGGAATTGCAGGATTGGGTGTCTTACGTCCCAAGAGATGGGGACAATTTGCCAACCAACTCCTTCGGATTAAGTGCTTGTCGCACCTCCCGACGATTCTCAACATGTTTTGGCTTCTGAGGATTTGCCGGTCTCTGTGGTTGAGACCGCCAGCCCGGTGGCACGGCTCAGCCAAAGTGAAGCTCGCAAGCGCCATTGGCCACTTGGATCCACTAATTACTCCATATTACTCCACTCAGCATTCGCTCAGAGTTCTGTGAGTTGACTCCACCAAACAATTCCCGTTTCGTTTTTTCCCATTTGTCCATCATTTTTTTTGAGGCGGAAAGTGCTACAGGCACCTCAAGCACTCGGTGACTTGGAATGAGCAACGCACGACACATCGTGAGGCATGAGACTATGATGACTATAACATACTATAACTGATAATTACTGGACTTGGCATTCTACAACCCCTTTTCGATCTGAAAACAGATGTTTTCCACAACATGCCGCAACATTCACCAACTGGTGAGGTCTAGCTGACATCTCTTTAGCTGATGTTGGACGTGCTGCTGTAGTTTCATTGGCTGCGCACGCCTGCGCTGGATTGATTTTGCTGTTAGGCGGCTGCTCAGATGCAAGAATTATCAAGAATCCCTGCCGCCCCGCTAATACTGGCCCCTAACCCACACAGTGTTGCACTTTGTCCGAATTCAACATTTTGACCAAGAAACTGCATTTTTGTATGCACCCATTCCTTTGGTGCAAGAAGTTTTTGGACGACTTTGCTCAGCAACAGTCGTTCTTTGATATACCTTTTGCATCCCTGTCCTCTCGCGGCCGTTGCGATCCGATGTCTGACTCGTGGCCTGTGTGAGGTTACATCTTTGTCGTGGTGCTGGCACTGCTGCTTCTTGCCCTGATTAGCAAGCCCGTGCCTGCAGATCGTTGGCTAGTGGTCAAAGCTACGCATCTTCGGAATGGATTTTGTCTCAACATGAAGAGGCGAGTTTGATAGTTTCATGTTGAGGTCCGTAAGAGTCTTCTTCCTGCTGGCTGCATGGCTGGACCAAGTTCAACTATCAGATCCTGAAACTTGTCAGGCCATGTGGGGACGAAATATATGCGTGTCACGGTGTGCAGCAAATCCACCGGTGAGAGTAAGCGGGAAAATAGTATCTCTTCTGTACAGTGCTACAATGTCTTTTCAGGATTTGGTCCCTGAGGTAGTTGCTGAGCAGGCGGAACTCTCTCCGGAAATGTCAGTGGCATCGACATCCCCCTCCAGCTCACCACTGGCAAAGGTGCCTGAAGCCTATGTCGCTTGGCCTGGCCCCAACCACTGCCCGATGTTTGTGAAATGACATGCTTTGAACATAGACTGACTGATATTTTTCTTAGTTTTCAGAAGTATGATTTCATGTTGTAACTACCCTTGAGGCTGCTTCATGGGGCTTCTTTCCTCCGGATCGCCCCAATGACCCTTGTCGCAGCATAGAGGGTATTTCCCTGTGACAATCATGTTGTGATCGTGGCAAGGACGGTCCAGATGCTGAGAGGCTCGGAGCTATGCCGTCAGTGCAGGAGGATCGGGGTTGGCTGACTTGTGACCTGGTGACACCTGGTGGACTGAAGCCATGTGAAAAACCTGGACGTCCTTTCGCAGGAGCCAAGTGACATGAGGGTAGAGCTTGGTTCAGGCTGGGGTGGTGCATAAGAAATCTGAGGCATGGAGTCCACTCTTGCACCGAGTGTGCAGTCTGCAAGTAACCCAGTGGCGCCCCAGCAGGTCATATTGGAGAAACCGCTGTCGACCTCGTTGCCGGCGCGTCCGTTCCAACTGATCAAATTGATCAAGGAGATCTGCTGGAGCATCATATATAACATATGCAGTATACAGGCAAACTTGAAAGTAGAAGCTGAGGGGCGAGTCAAAGTAAGAAAGGTCTGAGATGTAGCTCCCCCGATGTCCGTAGCACTTGAACAAAAAGACCATTGAAGAGTACATCAACTCAGACTCACACCGTGTTGTGGGTGTCCTCTCAGAGCGAAGATGTGATGGTCGACTCGATGGATCTCAACTAGCGGCTAGCGGTGCCTGAGGAGCTGATGCTTTGAGAAAGACTGCACAGCATGCTGAACGTGGCTCGTCTCTGAAAGGTTATTTCTCAAGTGTCCGTACAACCTGCAAGATTCTTGCTGACCTGCTGATTGGCATTGAACTGCTCTAGGTGTGCGTTGATTTTCTGATAGGGGAGTAATTACGTTGATTTTGCCAAGCAAACATGTTACACGGGAAGTCGGACTTACCCTTTCTCGGCCTTTTGCCGACTTCATTGGCCTTTGCCCACAGTTTTGGTCTCCACAGGCCCCGGAGGTGCAAGGCCAGGACGACGCCGACCAGGCAGATTTGGGGCTCGGCTCCGCATGGCTCCGCATGGCTCCGCATGGCTCCGGTGGTGTCAATGGGACTGTGGATCAACAAATCCCAAACACCATCCCTTGAACACATGAGGAACACCCACATTGTGTAGTACATGTATTATTGTTTCTTTTTATACGCATGTTCATCCTCATAAGGGGTGCAGCGCATACATACGTATTGTTGTTTTTCTTTTTTGGGGTGGTCAGGCTTCACGATCTTCAAGACTCCTTGAACTGGGATGGGTTGGTTGCCAGATTGCAGGTCCAGAAGCGCAACCGGGCATCGACGACAACCTACCGGGTGAGTCGCTTGTATGAACGATGCTGACGTTCAGTGTTGTACAGCTTGCGCATTTGGTTCATTTGCCAGAAGCCGGTATTTGCACCGAACTGACGCCATGAGTGGCTTGCTTCTCATTCTGAAGCCTGGTCATTTTGATTCACCTTAGCCACTTCTGAGGTCACTTCAGCAGGATCTGGACCGACCTCAGGCACATGTTTCTTTTGTGTCTTTATTGGCTACCACACCCGTACGAGGGCTGGCATAGAAGAGAAAGGGAGAAATCACAAGCGTCATTCGCAGAGTCAGCTCCAATTGACAAAGCGGCCAATTGCCGCCAGTTATGGTATGTAGGTAGTTAGATGTACTGTAATTGGAGAATCGTTGGATTCATCTAGACCCAATGTAAAACATGTGTCAAAGGGACATGATACGTAACTGGGTCCTGTTTCAGAATCGGGTTTGAAATTGTTTCTTGATTGTATATAACATGCCTGTGTGGGCATTTGACAACACAATCGTTGTGCTGTGATTTTTGATGAGGCGTGGCAAGAAGGCCTTCAAGATCTTCAAGAGAGCCGACTTGGCTGCTTGCCTTTGAGCTGTTATAGCCTCGATAGTGGGTGAGGAGTGTTGTGTTGCGTATTCACTTGCGGAGTGATGGTCCTCCAAATTGCAGTCATCTCAGCATATCTCAGCCACTAAGGCTTCATCAGAGAGACTCCACAACCGTGCTTTGCTTGCATTTTGTTTGGCTTTCGCCAGTCTGCGTCCAGGGAGACGGGTAAGGCAACACCCGAGGTGTTCCAAGATGTCTGCTCGGCCGGGATCCGGGTGCCCCACTGTGGCACACGCTACGCGATCTGAGGGGTTTGCCCCACTTCCCTTCACCATCGCCGCAGAGCCACACATGGAACGAGATCATTGGTTCCACAGACTCTTCGACAGACAGAGGGCAAGGCTCGACCGACCAGTCAAGAGACCAGCACATTGACATGGGGCAGCCCTGAAACGGCGGAGTCTAGCTGGAACAGATTGTTTGTGTGAGGGTCACCCTGGAATTGAGGACGGAGATTTGAGGAGGCAAGAAGGTACGTAAAGCAAAAGCAGGGCTGAGGCTGTTGAAGGAGAGGCCAAGCGGCCAGACGGCAAAACAATTTGTGCATTCACGGCAGTTGCTGACCAGGGTTTCTGGCACTTGCTCATGATGAGTCGAACTTGATGAAGCAGTCTTTGGCAGCTTGGCTTGGTGCGAATGGTTGAGCACAACGAAGCCTGAAAAGCTTATAAAATCTTATAAAAGCCTTTGTGTTCCAGAATCCGGCAGCATCCATCGTTCTAAAAGAAGATTGCACGTAGATGTTGCAGATTATGTGCGTCAGTCTCTCGACCCATACCCAGTCTCGACCCATAACCCGTGTACTCGGTCGACCCGTGGTCAGGATCGCCTTCGGAGCTCTCGCTGGGTGGCGGTCGCTGCTGGAATGGGCACGGCTCTGGCTGCTTGTGTCAAGAAGGTGTTCGTGCTTGTGTCAAGGGCCTTTGATCATTTTGATCCAAGACTGAAAACCAATGACGGGCAATGACAGGCACATATGACCGTATAACCAGTCGTATGACCCTATGCAGCTCAACGCTAAGGCCCTTGCACTTCTTTCTATTCTTCACGCGCTCCTGCTCTTTTTTGTGTTTGTGTTCGACCTGGTCTTCATTGAGAAGCTTTGGCTAGCAAAAACTAGACGACGGGTGGCCCGAGAGCGAGACATGTGATTGTCCAGTACTGTGGAAAAGATATCGAGAAAGAAAGAAAGAACGGATGGACGTGAAGGAGTGACAGTGTGGATGTGCAGGTGTCATACAGATGTGTAGATGTATGGAGGTGGAGAGGCAGATCTGTGGATGCGAGCGTGCGAAGACGTAAATGGACAGAGGCGAGAGAAAAGATATATCTTCGGTTCGTAAGAAGTCAGTCGCTCTTCAAACGACTCAAGACAAGTCAGTCTCATTTCAAGACAAAAGCGAAGTAAACCGCCAGCAGGTCGAAGCGCACACAAAATGGATTTGTGTGCGCTTCATCCTGGTCCCAGAGCGGCGAGTAGATATCCTGCGAGCAGAGGCTCAAAGCAAATCAGTCTGACTGCAAGTATCAGACACACAGAAAGTACGCAGTAAGTGCGCTTCAAGTCATCATCTCCACTCTCGCGGACAGGCCCTTCAAAGCACCAACACTGCGACCTGAGAGCAAACGACATCACGATCAGGACAAGTGACTCGTGCGTTCCAACTGCGCATCGTTTGTCGTGCAGGTGAAGTAGACACATATCAACGTCACGTCCCTTCTTCCGGCAGTCGCGGATCCCGTCGTTTAAGCGATGATGTCGCAGTTTCGTCCCGAAACACTGGATGTGAAAGACATCTTGTTGTTGAAAGTATTTGGTCCAGTCGGTCGGTGCGCCTGCGATCTTCATCTCCTGCGCGCACATGGTGGCCACCAGAGTGACCTTCAAAGACGTGGTCTCCACAATGTCTTCCAAGCTACACGCAGCTTTCAATCTTCCAAGCAACAGTGCTGCTCGATCCGCGCGCTCTCCGCAGAGGGTCGCCCCGGACCCGCAGAGGGTTGTCCCGGACCGGGGCAAATCGCACTCTCGCCTGCATTTCGCGCACTCGACACGCACGATCCCCGCAGAGGGTTGCCCGCGACCGGGACATATCGCAGTCTCGCCTGCATTTCGCGCACTCGACACGCACGATCTCCGCAGAGGGTTGCCCGCGACCGAGACAAATCGCACTCTCGCCTGCATTTCGTTCACGAAAAGCGAGAGGTGAAGATGTGAGATGTAGATGAGAGGTAAAGATGTGAGATGTAGATGTGAGGATGTGAAGATGAGCAGAGATGTAGATGTGCAGATGTGAACGTGAACAGAGATGTAGATGTGTGAAGACGAAGATGAGCAGAGATGTCGATGTGAGGATGTGAAGATGTGAAGAGATGTAGATGTGCAGTTGTGAATGTAGATGTGAAGATGAGCAGAGATATAGGGGAGAACGTGGATGTGCAGAGGTGAAGATGTGAAGATGTAGATGAGACGTAGTTCTGCAGATGTTTTTTTACGAAGAATCCTTCGCAGACGCTCTCGGGAATTGAAGCGCGTGAATATTTCCTATAGAAACTCCTTGTGAACTGGCAAGTGGCGCACGACTTCTTTTATTTCAGTATTCAATATAGCCATCGACCACTGTTTCTATATTCGGAGTTGGGCCCTTTATATGCATTGGCCGGTGCAGCATCTCAGCAACACAAGCCTGTGCCAGCTAGGAAGTATGCAGTTTCCGGCTTGTCCCGGCAATTCATTCTTGCAGCCGACGCTTTGTGGCATTTCTTGGGTTAGCGGGAGGATCATCAAGGTTAGGATCGATGTAACAGTACTGGGCCACTGGGTCTCACAAGGTCCCCTATGGTCTTGTTTGCTTGTTTGTGACCGTTGCGAGCCGACTTGCGATGTTCTCGCTTCTGGGAGTCCAGTCCCAAAATGGTCGCTCGGTTTCGGGCCCGTGAGGTGAATGCGACCTGTCTCGATAGCCAGCGGCTCACCAGCTTGGGCTCCTTTGGGCCCTCGGAGTGTGCACGTCAGGTCATGAGGCCGGCAGATGGTGGGCGTTTGGGGGCACTGGTGTGGTACTTCACCTGTGTTCACCGTCAGGTCGTGTTTCTGCTCAGGTCCACCTCGCATAGTGCCTTCTCCATGGGCCTTTTGGGTGATCATGGTGCTCGTGCTTGCTATCCACAGGATGGCATTTCAGAGGCCTCATTCATTGAGCTTTAGCTGCAGTTGCAATGTTGCATGATGCATGATGATGTTGGAATTCATTGAGGCGGCATGGGATGGCATGGGATGGCATGGGCGTGTGTCAAGTGTACTCAGGATGTCTTTTATGGTGGAGAGAAGGCGTTTTGCCCCTGGATGCCCAGCCCTGGTTTCGACTTCTACGTGATCGAAAAACAGCAGCCATGCCACTTGTCCACGCGGAGTTTGTACTTCGTTCACACCGGCCTTTTTTGCAGCAGTCATTCTCTATGGGATGTATGTATGTGGGGGAGCGCACATTTGCATTGCAGTACGTTCGGCAGGGTTGATGGCCTCAGCAAATCCCGCCAACCCAATGCTAAGACCAGCACTCGCCTCAGGTAGTGTGCTAGGCCGAGGGACCTCACTGATCGTCAGCAATGCGACGGCCTTTTCCCATCGGATCTCCGACGATTTGCCGGATGCGGCTGGGCGTGCAAAGGAGGCCTAACCCGCGTTGGGCTTTCGGAAAAAGCATGAAAAAGCGGCCTCATCCTCAACATTCTTAACATTGGGGGGCCAGGAGGACGGGTGCTTTTCGTGCTGAGGCATTGGCATCACGATGCAGTTCTTGCAGTTGCTTGGCTGTTTGAAAGGGGCAGACACCCCAGAGCCTGTTGATGTTCATATTTTTGAATCATGTAAAACTTCCACTGAAACATGTCGAAGAATTCCAACATTTTCTATCCTATCCCGTGGATTCCTGTGGGCCAATTGCTCACTAGCAACGGTAGCTAGTCAGACTCCTAGGCAGTGTTGTGCAGTCCATCCTGGACGTCGCACGTGCCCTTCTTCGTGCAGATGTTGTCGTGGCCTCCTCAGCTTCCGCAGACTCGCTCGACGGTTGATGACTCGGTCGGTCAGCTCCCTTTCAGTCGAAGTCCATTCCAACTGAAGCGGTCTGGGATCTTTTGGGGTTTCAACGGTCGAAGTTGGGGGATGTTGGGGGCATCAAAGACTTCTGCACGGTTTTGCCAAAGATTGGCAGGAGGCTGCACTGATGCCGCCGTGAAGCAGAGTTTTCCAACCGATTTCCAACTCGTCGGGTGAAGCATGGTGAATCAGTCAAGCACTTCGCATTGCTTAGCATTGCCACCAGCTGTGTCCAAGTTACACCAGCTCCTCTCTGCCGCCACACCTGGTTTCCACCGCTTGGGAGCTGCAGCCTTCGCGTTGGGAGCTGCTGCGGCGATTTTGCTTCTCGTGCTACTGGTGTCTGGGCAAGGACAGGAGCCCCCCCTACTTGACCTATAAAGATCCCAAACATCGAATATTCAATGTTCAGGAATGTTTAAGAGCTCCTTTTCAAGGAAGAAGGTCAGGTGTTTCAAGGGCGGTGTTTCTGGGAAAGTAAGATTGCGACCAAGGACGTGTTCTTTCTTCTGGCCTTGGGCCGCAAGGCTACGGCGTTGCGGCTGGGTGTGCCCCTTCTCCACTATGCTGCAGCCAATGTCCTTGGGCAGGCGAGGAGGTCAAGAATCACCAGCTCACAAGAGCAAAAAAGTTCGATCCTTTAAAAGAAGCGGACATTGACCACATGCATGACAAAAACCAGCTTGGAGACCTCCCCAACGTGCATGCATGTGCATGCGGATACATGCATTCCAATAACCTTTGTGCTCTTTGATGCTAGACTAGGTGCTGGAGCAGCTGGTCATTCTTTTGCTACACTGCGTGCTTATGGCTGGCATGTCGTTCCAGCTTGAACTTGCACATGACTTCTGGCCTGAACTCCATTGTACTAGAAGCAAGCAACTAGTGGAGACGCTCGGCACAATCTTACTTGCTGGATGTTCAATAATGTATGTGTATCAGGTATATGACATTATATGAATATGAAGACATCTATATATATACACATATTTGCAAATTGGTCGCTATCCCGACTTGACTGCCTTGAGTCTCTGAGATGCACCGCCATATGCCACATGGCGTATGCAAACTGTCGCACTCAGGGGTGAGCACAATGCTTGGCATCAGACAGTTCATTGGACTGGCACTGCGTTGGTATTCTTTGTTTGGGCCCCAGGCCTTCTCTGTCATGGCAGACTTGAGAAGAGAGTCAACTTATGCCTAGATCTTCCAACTGCTTTTTGGCTGGTTTTCTCAAAAAGATCGGTGTAAGTGCCAGATGATCCTTTTGATCTTATGTGCAGCTGAGGCCGCTGCCATTTCGCTGATCCTGGCGGCTGCATTGCTTGGAGGCTGCACCTACCGGTCGCACAACGTTCTTCCGCGCCGCTTGGAGAGACCAGCTTAAGTGGGCGTGACGCCTTTCGCACTTCTTCACCAAGGTTGGGCTCTGTCAATGGCATGTCCTCATGATGCCAAACTGTCCCGCTTCACGGCCGGTCCTGCTTCAGAGTGCAGGCGGAAATCATTTGCGGGGATGGTTAGCTGTGACACAGCATGTGAAGTCTATGGCTATGTAGCTAGCTGCTCTAGGATGATTTGACGGACATATTAATAAGTAACATAAGGGTTACAAAGGTGAGAGGATGCCCGTGATGCCAACTAAGTGAAGGGTCGAACCTCTTAGAGCAAACCTGGAAGGGATAGAAACACAACCGTTGATGTGGAGATAGAGAAGCATGTGCAGAGCCAACGGGACAAACACATCATACAAGTACGGTCATACAGGATGGTGTGAAGACAATCCATGTTTGCACAGGTAGATGATTTTGTATGAGAGCAACTTCATACAAGGGCTGGTGCAATATGGACAACATTGAGCAACACTAGAATCATCACTGAAACCCTCAAACAAACAAATAGCCACTGCAAAGTAGACAGGTGCTGCACAAACATTTTTGTTCAAAAGACTCTATATAGGTTTGCTGTTTGCTAGTCAATCACTGGCCTTGCACCAGGCACGAGATTTTGGCTGTGGACCCAGAGGTGTGTGGCTTCAAGCCGAAGCCTCAGATGGATGCTTCACCCATCTTCACCCTTTTCAAGACAGACCAAGCAGAATGGTAGAGTTGAAGTGAGAGGCATCGTAGAACTGCAGGGCACTGATCCGACCGCTGCTGGGTGCTCTCGCATCCCTTGGCATGTGGCACCGGAGCACCAGCGTAGCATTCCAGGCCTGGCTTGAACAGTTCTTGAAACCACAGTCCGATGATCTTTCCAATGGATTTTTTGCTTGATGTTCACAACATGGCATTGGGTATTGTAAAGTTGTTGCTCTCCCGGAGCAGGTGGTGAAGCGACAGGATTGGTACTTGCCCTCCATGCCCGATGACTCCATTGGCTATGTGTTTCCATCCGACTGTGTCAGCTGGACTCTTTGGAGAACCGCGGATCGGTACGCTCGGTCGCCACCGGCGGGGGGGGGCACATTTTGCAGCCCAATGTTTCCACGTGCTGCCAGAAAACCGCTGAAATCCATGCACGGGAAGTAAAGAACAAGTAGAGAAGTATCATAGCCTAATAGCGACTTATGTGAACCATTTGGATGACATGACGATTGAGGGGGACTACAAAGGACGCTTTGCATACTGCTTTCTTCCATGACTGGCCATGACTGCAAACTACAAAAGAGTATATTTGCGTTGCTTGCAACCTTTGGTCGAGGCCTCCTTGAATAGTTCTGTGCTTGCACTTTCCCAGCAGTTCCAACGAATTCTGCCAAGGATGAGTGTAGCAAGTGCTACTGTCAATAGCTTGTCAATCTCGTGGCTGTTGCTACCATACGGCGCCCTTCCAGCGAGAGCCTCGTTGTATCTCAACGAATGCCACTCAGCCGCTTTCTTTCCCCCTCTCCTGAGTTTCAAGCAGAGATATATCTTCAAAGTTAATGTCGGTGGCAGCTGCAGCTATATCACATCGTTATAGACAGTATATATATATAATATATATATACGTGTATAATATATATATATATGTGTATAATATTCGTTTTCAAGCAAAACAAAAATGACTGAACGCAGCTATTAGTATGTAACTTGATCACAGTGATCAGCTCACAGAACATACAGTAATTGGGCGAATAGGGAGAGCTGGATTTACGAAGGCCGTCATTCAGAGCAGCTTGACCTTCTGCTGCGTGTGTGCTTATCTTTCTATTTTGTCACTTGAGGCATTCTTTGTGCAGCTGGAACCGATGGTGTCTTGGCGAATGAACGCACAAGGTGACTGCAAGGCTACGGCTAGGGAGCCCTCCCTCCTGTCGATTTCGGATGCTTCACCACAACGAGTACCTTGATTTGTAGCTAACCATTCATGGTATCCATCATGGGGAAAGTGCCAGTGACTGTTAGTGTTAAATCGTTGAATGAAGTACTGCCGAAGCGGAGAATGAGGTGGCAACTCTGCGGACGAGCCTGATCAGCTTGCAAGCCATGTTTTTGAGGCAAGCTTGCCAAGTGCTGTTTGATGCTATTTGGTGTGAACACGTTTGAACAATCATTTGAATTGTCTAAGTTATCTTCTCCAAAGTATGTAACACTAACACAGCGACCTGGAAGTCTGGAAGTGCTCGGAATCATTGCCATCTTGGTTAGCAGTGTTGAAGACAGTAGATCGTTGCGGACAGTAGATCGAGGGAGAGGGTGCCACTGCCACGAGGATACTGACCCTGCTTTGCACTTGGCACGATGGGCTGCAGCCTGTGGGCAGTTGGCTCCATGAACGCATTTACTGTGGTTCTGAAGGAGTCTTTGAGGCATGTGTGAATCACCCGAGGGCCCGAAGGTCTTTCTTGGCTCATGGACAGAGTCCGCCAACGAGGTGACTTTGCTGCTTTTGCTCGCAGTGGATTTCTTCAACGCCGAAAAGCGGGAGAGGCTCATTTTCCAGCTCCTGCTTGCAGGCCCTTAGACAGCTTCTGTCAGACAGTCAGACAGGCCATGTTGCTCTTCACGCCATCCATGCCGCTTTTTGGGCGAAACTACAGAAGAGAGACCTGGACAGTGATGGACATGAAATGACATGAATCCAAGTTTCTCAGTCGAGTTACACCAACTGGAGATCTGCAAGCAGTGCTGCGGCAGGGGCCTTCCTCAGCGCTTTGCGCGCGATCATGGCCTTGCTGCAGGGCATCACCTGCTTCCTCCGGCGGCGAGGGTTGGTCAGGCTCTTGGCAACATGATACAACAGTGAGAATTTGAGATTGCCAGTCGTTTGCGGGGGGAATCGGGCTTTTCAGATCATTTCCGCATCCGAAAGTCCGATGGAACTACCATTGTTGGGATGCTTTTCTGCCTTTGGTCCCAGGTCTTTGCTTGCTGCAAGTTGTTGCAGGACTCATATGGTTCGACAACACTGGACAATTTGGACAGTTTAGACGATGTGAGGGGCATTTGGGAGACACTGCACGGTTACCTATAGGAAGACAGCAGGTGTTGTTCAAGGCTGCTATATCAATCCAGTGGGTGCTTGGATTTAAGCAGCAAAGATCGCAAATTTAATTCCAGCCGCACAGAACTTTGAGCCACGTTAGCACTAGGAGTCCCTGCCAGCTCGGGTGGTGCAGAGCTACACCCGTGCTCAGCAGAAGACGATTCCAAGGCATGCAAAGTCACATTGCAAAGCTTTGGACGGGCTCAATATCAGGTTGCACCAGTCTTTTTTCGATTGCGTTACACTTCGACGCGATGACCAGATATGACGAGGTCTCGCAGCGAAGAAGAGGCAGACGCGCTGGGCATCCAACCCTGGCGAGCAGGTCGGAGGGCTTGACAGGTGTCCTGTCTGTCACGTTTGGTCTCAAAATCTCTTCAAACACTCGGACCCCCACACATCCCTGAGACAAGTAAGTCACAGCGAACCTCCCACGTCTTCAGATTTTGAGACCCAGGGACTCACTATTTGCTAGTAGGAAGGAAGCTGCTAATAGCTGGGAAGGGGAGCTTCCTTGAACAAGCCCTCGCACTATTCTTCCTTTGGTTCCCTAGTTTTTTTGGATAATTTTAACTTAGAACTCTACATAACTCTGTGCATTTTGTATTTCTGTGTTTTGCCAGGCCGGTTCTTTGGCAAGGCATGCGACCGGGCCACTGCTCGGGTGCCCTTAAGGCGTGAACACATTGTTCAGGGCTGATCTCACTGTCTTGGCCCTGGTCGGGCCATATATAGCTCATAGCCAACCTTTTGACCCACAGGTATAGTGTTTTTTTCTCATGACAGTAGTATAATTACCCTGATGTATACTTACAATAATATATACGCAGTATTTACACTAAATAAACAAAAACATATTTATATATACACATTTTTTTTCACAATCTTATATGCGAATGCATGAAAAGTGGCCGTCATCCCCTAATCATATTTTTTTCTCGACTCTTTTGCTCCTGCTCAGCTTCTTGCTAGACATCCGATTCGACTTCAGGCCTCTGCTGGAACAGAACCGGCAGGGCCAACTGTACGCCACGTCGTCCACAAGCCTTCTTGAGTTTCAACGATGCTTGGAAGCCTTGCTCGCTGCAAATGGCGTTCCCTCCACATCTGGTGCAAGCCACTTTGTTTCCTTTCCTCCACAATTCACGAATTGAGGTGCCCTTGCCATTGCAAGGGAGGGTTCCAAGCAGCATTCCAACATGGTTTCTAGACAAACAAGCTCAACCTATCGACAGAACTGTGACGAAGGATCATCTGCCCACATGTCTTGCAGGCCACATAGTTCTTTCGAATCTCAAGCTCATGCCCCCCATGATCTGGAAAGCATTGGAAAGCTACCATTCAACATTTGCTAGAGAAGGTCAGCCTTGCTCATGGTCTCCTTTTTGCCCCTCCTTTAGGAGGGGAAGCACCCGCTAAAGGACAAGCCTCCGTGCGAAAAACCCAGCTGCTCAAAGCTCACATGCATGTTTGCCCTACAATTGCACCCTTTGCATTGCAAGCCACTGCCTTTTGCAACCCACGTGTGGCCCCTCTCAACTGGAGTTGACAGCAAAGCCTCATAAGCACTGCGCTGTCTCTGTCGCGCACTGTCTCGTTTGTCCTTTGCAGACTCCCTGGCCTGTCTAGTAAAATGAGTCCCGTCGTCACGGACATGCTTCACACGTGCGATAGCCTCGAGTGCCACCGCTTTGTACTTGGCATCCTGTTGCTGCAACTCAAGTTCAAGCTCTGTAGGCTGCATGGCTAGAGCCCGTTCTCTGGCAACTTTATTGGCATCCTGCATTCGACTGCGAAGCGACCATCCTCCAAGCGGTATATTTTTTAACTGTTTCCGAGAGACATAGATACTGTAGATCAGGCAACCAGGCCCGTCCTCCGTCCTCCAGGCCTGATCTTGGCTCTCCTCTGGTGTGACCAGCGCATTCAAATCCTAGAACGTTTGCTCAAGCCTGGATTTGGTCCAAGCATCAAATGCCTGAGTCGATGCAACATGGATCTTCACTTCTCCAGCCAAATCGACAAAATGCACTGCAATCCTCAGCCCATAGAACCAGCCCCCCTGATAAGACTGGCTCCCTGGCAAGACCGCCGTGATGCAACCTAGTCTATACAACTCACCTTGCTGCAATGTATGATGAACAACCGAAACAATCACATGCTTCAGTCTTGGGTCTTGACTCGTGGTTGCCAAGCCAAATGGTCAAACATTATCCCCTAGTCATTATATACATACAGTATCAGTATATATATATATATACTGTATACATGTTGATTTTTTGAACTCCTGTGTGTTGCAGGTCCTCTCCAGAACGAGAGGAAGATTGCTTGCAGCATGCTTAGCTTCTCACACTCAAACTCCACATCTCCCAAGGACCTATGTCCATCACTGTCATGTCACCCCAAGATGCCCCAAGCACTTGAGAGCCAATGCCATTGCATGGAAAGGTTTGGACTAACGATCCACGAGCGCAAACGAGTTTTGGTGGCGTGCCGTGACTTGTTGCAGCTGGACTGGGTAAAGCTGCTCGGCAGCAAGCTCACAAAAGTACTTGTGCACACTGATGCATCACTGATGAACGCTTGTGCTCGAGCAGTTCGAAATGCCAGAGGTTCAGATCCGGATCAGCTTGCCCAAAAGCTGAGGTCAGCTCACCTGCCGGGACACATTCGGGGAAAGCTGGCCGCTGCGAGGAGCAGCCGCAGTCGCCGTGTGCGCTTGGCTGAAGCACTACGAGGCTGGAAACATCATGAACTATCATGAACTATCCAACCCAAAAGAGGTTTTGACTTGGCCCTGAAGAAGGGCTAAAAGACACAAACTCTGAACCCAACAGTCTCAAAACAGTATTGACGATTTGTCGAACAGAGGAAGGCCCCCAAGCAGCTTCAGCATGTCATAGTGACAGCAAAACGTGGTGAATTGTCCAGAACTGCAGGTCGTCAAGTTGCAACTGGATGGCTTTGTGGGGCTTTTCTATTAGCACTGCGGGAGGTCGCTGAGGAGGCGGCTTGGTGCATGTTGGACTGATCGGCCGGCCTGTGAAGACTCAGTCCAGTCCTGATTCATGCCTTTCTCTCAGCTGAGGACTTGTGCGCTCAAAAATGCGCTGTGGAGGCAAAACTTGTGGCGTCCAAGCACCTTCGCCAGCATTGCACGCTACAAGCCGCGAACCTTGTCGCAAACAATGACATCTAGAATAAAGTGTTAGTTGTGAGTCGTGAATATATACATGTGTATGTGTGTGTGTGTGTGCATGCATATATATATATATGTACATATACATACACAGTCCGCTTATTGTTCAACTGCTATTCAGTTTTTTTCTGTCAAGAATTCCCAGTGCCAATGAATCATTTCGTTTGAGGAGGCTTCAAAATTGGCTTCAAGCTCATGCCAAGAGCCAAGCGGCTCGATGGGCTTCTGCACTCTGGAACTCAGGCACTTAGCCGGCGGCGAGGTGTTGAAAGGTGTAGAGTGTTTGACAGGAACCAGCATGCAGTTCATGAGAGCACGTCCCAACACAAAAAAGGCGTGGTTAAGCTGAATGATGCCCCCATATACAGCAACACAGACTTGGAAAGGTGCGGTTGGAGACATCCTCGAAGCCAGCAGTCAAGAGCAAGAGGCGGCCCAACGAAACCGAGGGCTTTTGATGAGATTTGACATGTAAAGGCACACCCTAAGCTCAACTGTTGGGAAGTTTAGCATTCTATAAGCGGATCTAGTGCCCAGCAGGCAGATTTGGTGGATGTGCCAACTTTGTAGCTCAACTAGATCTGCCTGTGTTTGGCCAGGCCATGAGCTTCGAAGAGGTGCAGCTCCTGTTTCAAGATCAATGATGTAGTTTTTCTTTTTTCTTCGTTTGTCTGTCTGCACCTAAAATCAAGGTGGTAGGGGTGGGGCGCAGACTTTCTTGTGACTTGTGTATTCCCAGTGGTCTTTGTTGAGACACATCCATGGACCGGAGCATCGCAAGAATTTGAAGAATGTGCCCCCTTGCCTTGCCACACGGTATCAGGAAGGATGGGGCAAGATAGTGCATGAGTACAGACCTGAGCCTATGTGGAGTTGTTTGACGTGTCAGCTTCGGCTGCAACTTCATCACACAAGTTGCAAGGGATGACAAGGACAACGCGCTGGAGGTGGGAGCTCCTTTTCATTCGTGAATGGGAAGGCTTTGTGGCTCATGCCTAGGTACCCTTTCTGGTTGGGCACATGATTTACAAGTAATACCAAGTATTTAACATGCATCAAGTAACCGTGCAAGTTGCTTTATTGGCTCAAGGAAGTCACTCGTTCTTCTGAGCCCACGGAGCGACCATGGCGACGACCGTAGCCTTTTCGGTGCTCCTTGGTCTGCCCTTCGTTCGGGCGATGTCCGGCTCGTTTGGGCTCAGCTATCCAAGCCTGGAAGCACAGGTGAATTTGAAAACCGATGGCTTTTGGCACTTGGGCGGCTTTTGCTTTGGAAAGGACGTTGATCACGTGGGGGTGTTGAATGTGCAGGTGGACTGGAGAGGCCATACACCACTGGATGATGCTCAAGTCTACTTGGTGGGCTTTGATGGCCGTAAGGATCACTGGGGCTTGATAAGCCAGAACTGGAACACGAGCTCTTGCGATGAGAAGTTGCACATGGCCGATGCTTCAGATTCTTCGACACAGCTTGGAGTCTTGGGCCCCAAGTACACTTTAAAGATCAGGGTGCGGCAGAGAACTGGGGTGCGTGATTGGCACTTTGCCTTGCTCTCTTGTGGCGCTGTGGAGGCAGCCCCACTGAAGCTGAAAGTAGAAGCAGAAGCCGGTGCTCTATCGTACTTTGAGGCTAACACACAATTTGACAGCAGCAGCTGCCCGGTGCTGAACACTGGCTGGTGGGAATATGCCAGTTCTGCACTGGGATTTTGGCTAATGCTTATCTTCATTGTGATATGCACCTCCTGCTTGGCCATCTCCATTGGGCGCAGCCTACGCCTTTGCCACAAGCGTGCGCGCAAGACCTCTGGAAGCGATGTGGTCATTGGGAGACCTTGTGAAATGCCACATGATGAAAAGGTCGCCACCGGACACCCCCACGATGTGAAGGAGCAACCGTAGCAGGATTGCTTTCTTCAGAAGAGCTGTACAGATTCTGAAAGAGCATGCTCGAATTCAGTGTTGGAAGACCAGACAGGTGCTTCTTGCATTATTTTATATTCCCTTGCCAGCAAGTGCAGGAATGGCTTGCAAAAGGAAGCAAGCCTGAGATGCTGCTGCAACATTCTCATATCTTCTCAATTTTTCAAGCTGTTAGACGCTGTCTGGATCTCAAGACCTTGTACAAAAGCTACACCAAAGGACATCACGCTGTTTGGCAAAAGGCTGACCAAACAGGAGTTCAAATTCAAATCATTCCTTTCCTGTGTAGTCTTAGTGCTTTCTCCCTCTCTCGGTGTCATTTTTCAAGTTTGCACTCCGGTAGGAGGCAAAGCAGCAATCCACGCGAGCCACAGAGAAGCCGCATGGTTTGTAATGGAGACGGGGCATATATAGATTTTGGTGTTGTGACCATGTTTGTGATCTTCTCCTGCTTCATGTTCGGAGCATCGAATCTCTTCACCAGTGCCCAAGGTCGGATGGCTTCAGTGCTCAGAGTCACTTGGGCACACACACAGATCGACCAGAACATCACCCGTCTGAAGTCCAGTCACACCGTGGCCTCCGTCGATCCAAGGTTTATCTTGCGCGAGCGCCATGGCCATGCGATCATCGCCATGGAAAGCAACTGATGCACCGCAAAGCCTCCGGATGTTGCTATATGGCTGCACTGTCGGCACTGCTTCAAGGGCATTTTTTTAAAAATATACTAGAGATGTTTGATATTTATTTTTTTTGTTCTCATGGCATGGCCCAGGTTTGCCGTGACGCAGCAGGGTCTGGTACGCATCAGTGGCCATTGGGCAGCTGGTGGCCGAGAGATTTTGCCCGAGCAGCAGGCGGGCAGCTGTTCCGCACGAACAGGACAACTCTGACGACAAAGTCAGTGACTGTCAGCACAAAGCTGATTGTATCCTATTCTATTCTTGAGATTCCTTGAGTATGTTCTGCGGAGCTGCAAGGAATACATTGGCACACTCTTTTACAACATGTTACACATGACTTGTATCGATTTGTCATGTGTGTTGTTGTGTGTCATTCGACATGCTGCGCGCGCCTCAAGAGCTATAGTTCCTTATACTCTCAATCCTTGTTATTTCCGTCCGGCCCACATCAGCAGATACGCTGGGATGGCTCCGATCGTAAAATCTGGCAACTCTTGGAAAAACCTTCTGCTGCTGAACTCTGGCAATGAGCGCTTGTTGGATGAAGAGGATATTGACTTTGCTTCCGACGTCTATGCGCTTGCCCAGATCACAACAGATGAGCTCTTGAACTCATGGAAGGTCTTCACAGCATTGAAGGATGAGAGTTACCAGGGAAGGCGCTTGGAAAACGCCGCCTGGCGTCTTCAGGCCATGCAGAAATTGGGGAGGCCTGCAAGCTCGGAAGCCACCTCGAAGATCACTGGAGGCAGATGTGGTTTGAAAGACATGTCTGAGCCAGCGCACGCTCAGCAAGACACTCCGGCAACGTCTGAAACGGCCTCAGAACCTGAACCCGAAGAAGGCAAAGAGCTTCATCCCATCTTGGATGACTCATGGGCTGCCAAGCATTTGCTGGGTGTTTGTCTCAAGAACAAACTGAGCAACGAGACCGTGCGGGAGATATTGCAGGTCCGGGTTGCTGTCACTTTTGGTGCGTGCATGTGCGTTTGCGTGCGCGTGTGCGCGGATGTGTGTTTTCATCATATCAATAGTAATATTATTGAGCCATCCTAACTGCAAAAGAGAGAAAACTGAACTTGCTGCGGTGTTGATGGCGGTGCTATCGCGGAGGAATGCCTGCTGGGAAAAGGGTTGTTCACAACTCGACGTAGGACAAGTTTAGCTTACTCAAGGTATGTGGAAACAACCAAACCCTGGAGAATTCTCCGCGAAAATTGACCCTGGAACTTTGAAGGATTCGTACAAGTAGATATATTTTTTGTGAATAGTGGCGTTTCCGTCGCCGTCAGAAGGAGTTTAGATCAACCAAAATAATCCAATACAACTATAGAAACAATAACAATAAAGAAGTAAACATATGCAAAAATCAATGAAAAAATAGACAGAGATATGCATGTGTATACAATACCTCCGTGACGACTACTGAATAGTATAGAATCTAAAGTTGGAAGAACCACAGAATGCTCAGCAGAACAAGAGCCTGATCATATTCGACTTCCACTTCGACCTTGCATATCGCTGCGTGTCACGTATCCCATTACCCTGGAGGTCATTCAAGACAGGGATTTCCGACCCAGTGACTTGCCGAGCGCTCCTGAGCAACTCCGCGCCTTGCACCACAGCCAGAGACCGGTCTTGGCCATTTTTACCCACAGCTTGGAGAGGAACGGCGCCAACAACTTTTGTCTCTACATTGCCCGGTTGCTGAAGAACAATCAGCCATTGACCATCTTCTCCCCAAAAGCTGGTCCAATGCAGGAGGATTTTGAGAAGCTGGGCCTCGAAGTGACCATTGTCGACACAACGTCACCCAGCTTTTTGGAGGACCTGAGCACTGCTCTCCTGTTGCGCAGGGTGGGCCTCCTCTTGGCCAACACCATCATGCGTTGCGATATCATTCTCATGGCCGCGGAGCTCAAGATGCCGAGCGTTTGGGTCATCCATGAGTCATGGCCGCAAGACCAGTTGGATCACTATGCAAAGGAGGTCTTCATGTGCAAGGACATTAACTCAACTGTGATCCGGAAGGCTTTTGCTGCAGCTAGCAGAATTGTTTTCCCGTCGGACATGCAACGTCACCTCTATGATGGTATGTTCAAGCCCGAGGCTGGCCTGACCGTTTACAATGGAATCCCTTTGCAACAGTTGGACCACTTCAAGCAAACCCAAGATCGACGTCAAGTTCGGGCAGCCTTGGGCTACACGGATAAGGACTTTCTAGTGCTTCACCTGGGGACGGTGTGCAGCCGAAAGGGGCAGGTTTTCTCGGCGACCGCTTGTGCCAAACTCATCAAGGAGAACGGCTGTCAGAACTTGAAGCAGCTCATTGTAGGCGCTCGGTACATCAGAGAGCACGAGATCAAATACATTGACCAGATCTTTCAGGTGGCTTCTTCCTATGGTCTCTCATGCCGACGATTTGAAGACTTGTGCCCGGAAGAGCTTGGACAGTCAGACATTACCATCATGGATATTCAGGCGGCCGTGTTGCGATTCTACATGGCAGCAGATGTTGTCCTGGTACCTTCTCTCAATGAAGTTCTCCCATTGGTGATTTGTGAGTCAATGGCATTTGAGAGACCAGTTGTTTGCAGCAAGATTGATGCCATTCCTGAAGCACTCACTGATGGAGTCGAGGGCTTCCTAGTCCCAGCAGGTAATGCTGATGCCATTCGTGATGCCGTGCTTCGGCTCTATCAAAGTCCCGAGCTTCGAACGCAGATGGGAGCTGCAGGGAGGGATCGTGTCTTGAAGCAGTTCAGCTATGGGCGCATGGGTGAGCGCTATCGCGAATTGCTTGACAATGCGCCAGCTCCAGCAGAGGTGCTGAAAAGCGGTATTCTGAAAGGAAAGACAGTGTTGGTGGACATGGACAACACCATTGTGGATTGGGATGGTGAGTTCATTCGTCGCTACGCTCGTTTTACTGATCAAGACACTGCAGAGATTGAAAGGCTCGTTGGAAACCGAAAGCATTTTGAGATTGAGCAGAACTTTGATTCGTCCCAACACCAGAAGGTTCTGGAAGTCGTCGCCTCGCCCGGTTTCTATGAGTGCTTGCAACCAATTCCGGGCGCAGTGGAAGCGTTGCATGCCATGGTAGCAGAGGGTGTTGATGTGAAACTGGTGACGGCGCCACATCCCTCATGTGCGGGAAACTGTGCACGGGAGAAGTTCATCTCGGTGGAGCGACTCTTTGGAACCGCTTTCCTGGAAAGGCACCATCTCCAAGGGACAAACGGATGACGTTTTCGGTCATGACATGAGTTGAGCATTGAAAAAGACAAGCTAGAAAAGACACGCACACACACACACACACATGTGCTTGACCATTGCAATTGTGTTTCTTCCGTGCCCTGAGCCGATGCTGCTTGTGCAGGCTGATCATCACTAGAGACAAGACCCATGTTCAGGGTGACCTCTTGATTGACGACAAGCCAAGAGTCACTGGGAGCATGAGGGCTTCTTGGGAGCATGTGCTCTTCAGCCAGTCGTACAATCACGGGATGGAAGGCAAGACGCGCTTGTCTTCCTGGGCTGAGTGGGCTGACGTTTTGCCTCGTGCATTTTGATTTTGTAGGGTGGACTTTGACGTGAAGCCATCCGATTGAATGGACGCCTTCGGGTAGTGCCAGTTTCAGGTGCCAATCTATCTTTTTATTTTGGGTCCTTCGCCCCAAGCACCTGGCATTTCTTGTGCAAGCATCTTCCATGTACAGAAATTCGACGGCCTTAAGCACTTGGTACAGATGATACAGATCAAAGCTTCAAGTTTACAGGGACAAGCACCATGAGACTTGAAGTCGGCCATTCTCATTGGGTTCTTTGCTATTCAAGGATGCGCACTTTAAAGGATAGATCATTTTGAAAGATGTGCTCTGTAGATGTTGCGAGAACCCTAGTGGGTCAAACGGAAACCAACAGAAAGACCTCCAAATACCTGATTGGGATCAACGAGAGGCCAAAGGAAAATTGTGCTTGCTGCGACAACTTGCACATGTGAGACATACTGATACATGAGTGGCCACTCTGTCAACCAGCTGTCATGCTGAATCAAAAACATGCGGAGAGCGACCACTTGAGGATGAGCATTCCCTATCGCTCTTCAGGCCAGCATCAACATCACGGCACAAGCGGAGGTTGTTTTGCATTGGCCTCGCAACGGTGTCAGCTCCAGTGATGTGCAGGCTGCGACCACTCAGCCTGGAAGGGATTGTTTTCAGATCTACTAGATGAGACGGGCGTCCACCTTTGCGCATGGACGCCAGGTGGAGTTCATTTCACATCAGATTTGGCCGTCCCTTCCGCCAAAGGATGCCCAGTCAGGCTGGATCTAGAATCTTAGAATTGATGGTTTATTATTGTTGATGATTGGCACCTTCAATGCCATCAAATGTCAACTCATTATCATCTATCATCTTAATGTGCGCAATGCCAAGCTTTTTCCTGGCTTTGCTGTCAGGAAGCCCCATGACAAAGCGCAACGAGCGACATCAGAAAAGTGTTTGCAGGACATGGTGCTTCATGCGTTTATGGTTCTATATAGAGACTTCAGGCAGACATTTACGATCATGTACTACGTAGATTGGCCCTGCGCCTAGAACAATGTCCTCGGAGTGGCTGCAGCATTCTCTGTGAGTGCTGATGTGGAACATTGAACAGCAAGCCATATTGATGCAAACTTGTGGGGTCCCAGCATGTGGGTGTAATGTGGCGACATGGAGTGTGCAAGCGAGGAGGCGCTTGGGAACTTCGAGGGCACAGCGGAAGGAGCTACAGTGGGAACACAGGCGATGGGCAGGAGCGTGATGCTTGCAAATTTGAAAAGGCAAATGAGGTCTGGCATGGTTGGCCAATACGGATATCCTGACACTCCCGCAAACACGATCCTGCTGGTGGTTTTGAAACCGACGCACGTCCCATCACATCCCCTCGTTTCTGTGACCGCAGGATGTTGCACGAAGGCCCCAGCTGCAGCGGAAGATGATCGAATGGATTCGCTTTGGCGAGTTCAATGTGACCTCGGCATGTGTTCCCAGTGGGTGGACAGACAAAAGATTTACAAGGGGCCTTACGGGATAGCATGTTTCATCAAGTCGTCATCACCAGCATCATCAAATCATGGTTGCACCTTCGTTCTTGTTTATTCTGATCTCGTCATCAGCATCACCGTTGTTCTTAGATTGTTTCAGAGGCAAGGCTCTTTTTCGCATGGTGAGCCGTGAGCCCTCCAGGCTGTGTCGAATGGGGTGAAGATGCGAAGGTGTCCGAGTGCGACTCGGACAAGGTGGGCCTGGGAGCGTGGAATCTGGACGAGTCAGCACCAGCGAAGCTGCATGCATGGGGGTCAGCCTTGAATGGTGCTCGATGCTGGCTTCTCTGTCTTTGACATGGAAACCAACCTTCGCTCGTTTTGTGACTAGTGACTACAGTAGTGACTGGAATTGCTTTATACCCCAGTGTGTTGTACTTTTGGCATCCACTGCAGGATGCTGTACAGCTCTTCACAGAGCTTGGCTGCTTGAGTTGGGTGCCTCCGGTGGCTTTGCCTGCGCTGGATCCTTCACAGAAGCTGCGTCCAAAGAAACTCAGCCTAATTCAGCTGAAGAACTCAATAATGCAATTGGGACCTGTTTTTTTGAAGATTCAATAGGACACGTATGTAACACCGGGTATGGCAAGCAAGCGTGATGGTGCAGTTTGTTTGCTTGCCCCTCTTTGTACCCTACAGAGGAAATCCAAGAAATCATGTGCCTGACGGATCTTCATCAGTGATCATCAAAGCACTCAGAGCACTTGTGCCTTTTGAACTGTCATTTGATCTTTCCAGTTGCAATGCCAGGGCCCGGGCCTTTGACCCCCGGGTCCCCCAGGCGCTGTGACCATGAATTTCCCACATGACCTTTAATCCCAAGGACCATGGACAGCTGCATGGCCGAGTGGCCTGCTCAGCTGGGAGTCTGGCCACAAGAGGCCCAAGTGAAATGATTTGGTGTGAGGTCGCATGAGCTTGATACAGCAGCACTGAGGTCAAGCACGAGATCCAGCATCTTGGCGTGCAATTGTGCGCTTGGCTGGCAACACAGCCCCATGAACATGATAATGATATTACTCATCTATATCACTCTGACACTGAGAGGTCAGCTCTCTCAGCTTGGTGGCCGTGTTGCAGCACTCGTGGGCGGTGGACCCGCTGGCTTGTTGGGCCCTGTGGCCAAAGTGCCGCAGCAGGTGGGGACCAGCAATTAGAGACAAGCAATCAAAGCACCAAATGCCAGTGAAGCGTTGGACATAGCAGATTTCTTGCATGTCAAGGCTGTTTAGGCAAGCAGCAAGATGTCAAGCATCATCGCCCCAGGACCCTGCCCGGCTGCCAGAGGAACTTTGCTTGGCAGCTGAAGCAGCGGCATGGACAGCTGCCTCCGCGGCGGCTGTGACGCCCAAGGTGACCATGCAGAAGCTGGAGGCCAAGCTACGAAATTATGGTTCCGGGTGCTGCAAAAAGCAAGCAACTGACACGTGCAGATGCAAGAACTTGCTTCAAGCACGTCCTAGGCCGATCCAGAAGATAAGCACAGCAATTATCGGCAGCAAAATGTAGTAAACCTTTTTGTGGGAGCAATGGCCTGAAAGGGAAAGGCCCTGATTGAGTCTTGGACCAGTGGAGTTGTTTCAAGACTAATCCCAGTTTTCACAGTCCATGATGGGCCCCAAGAAATTCAAGTTCGGAAGGCTTTTCATATGTTTTCATGCAGTCTGAGCGGGGGTTCAGAAGGTTCATCCACTTCACCATTTGTTGGGACTAGTGACTAGTGGAAAGAAGCTACTAGGGCCATTGCTGCTAGTAGCAAGAAGTTACTACTCGTAGGTGATGATCATTCTCGATTCGTCACTCGTGGTCGTGCCAGGTGGCCTTGAGATGGAATCCGCAGCAGCTTCCTGCGGCCTTTTTCGGCGCGCTCTATGCTGGTGTTGGGGGACTGACTCAGGCACTGCGGGCGGGGCCCGCCATTTTCATGTAGTCCAATCCTGCTTGATAACTATAACTAAATACAATGATATATATATATATATATGTGTGATTTACAATATACATAAGTATGCACTTGTATAGTCAGTTTTGTATCTAGATACTTGTGCGCACATATACCTATATATGTACACCCCACTTGATGTTGATCCATCAAATATCAAACTCGGATGAGTTTTACTTAAGTTCTTTGACCTTTTCAGGTCTTGAACATGCTGTTTTTGCTGCTAACTAAAGAGTTCACTGGGGATCACAGCAGCCACGGGCATCCCACCGAGCACGCGGCACGAGGCCGAGCTCCGGCGTCAATCCTGGCTCACCGCCGCGGCCGCTCGGAAGATGCGGAGGATGCACCAGGCAGGGCGTGACTGGCACCCGCGCTATGGTCTTGGGGGATTGGATGGGATTTGGGTGGCCAGGCTATGGTCTTTGGCTTTGGTCCTAAAGTAGTATCATGTATTATCCACTTATGATTTCGGGAAGGCCATTGGAAAAGATTCTGATTGCTGCAAGTGTTTTCAGATTCGAAAGGTGTTGCGGCCTGTAACCTACGAAACGTCTTGAACATGGAGAGATGCATGCATGTACGGCACTATTTACGGAAGGCAATGCACATAGAAGGCGGCGCCCAATACAACATAGTGCATGATGTCACAATAAAAGGTGGATTTGCATTAGGACTCTAGAAGACTCACACCTTTCAGATGGCAACTTACGCAAGCGCTGAGCGCGTCAAGAAGATTTTCCTGGAAGCTGACACAGACAAGAACGGAGTGCTGAGCAAGGATGAGTTGACGGCCGTCATCCAAAAACTCTCGAAGTGGGATGACGAAACAGTGGAAGAGCTCATGAAGCAGTGTGATTATAACAAGGATGGCATGCTGCAGATCACAGAGTTTGTAGATTTCCTTTTCCGTGGTACCCGGAAGCAGCGTGAGATCCAGGAGGGGACGATCACATGCGTATCTTTGATGGCCATGCACGAGGCCTACTATGACGATTTGCATGACATTGTCCATGATTTTCTTCAAAAACACCAGATCACCCGAATCGACTTCAACTGGGAGGATGCTTGGCCTAATGCCGTGGAGTATTGCGAGCTCAACCATGTGGACGTTTTGAGCATTGATTCGGATGCCATCCGCGTTGCAGTGGGGGATCGTGGAGAGCTGTGGTATGAGAGAGACATGTGGTTTGACAAACGGGAGATACCGGAAGAGAAGCTCTTTGATGTTCTACCCCTGGTCAAGGAGATCTTCGCCAAGAGTTTGAATCCTCTTCTTGCTTTGGAGATCCTTTGGTGCCCTCCAGGAAGCCCCGAAGGTGGAGTCGACCGCCTTCGGCGAAATCTGAACTCTTGGAATGGTGGAATCAAAAAGATGCTGAGAACAAAAGAGGAGCAGCTCGCTGCGAATGAGCGCTTCAAAGAACGGGCAAGTCACATGGAGGCTTTGATTGCAGCAGCCGAAGAGGCTGAGAGAATCGAGAAAGAGAAGGATCTTGCTGCCTTCAAGCCCTTGTGGGATCAAGTCGTGGCAAAAGCAGGTTGGGAGGATGCAAAAGCTCAGCAGGTTTTTGACCATATGGTGCGTGGAAACATGTATACTGAAACCTGGTACATCCACGCATTTACTGAAGGCCATGTGGAAAAGGACTTGGAGAAGATTGGTGTGGAGCAGTTTGCAGAGGATGACATGCAGATCCTCACGGATTTTGCCTTTGAACACGACGAGCTTTCAAAGACGGTGAGGAACTTGACGGCATGAGTCGGCCGCGTCGGATCTAGGTTTCGAGACGGTCTGGGTGCTTTGCGGGGTGTTTGCTGAGGTATTTGGCCTCCAAGACCGGATGGGACGTGAAGGATCAGCAGCAGGTGGTCCACAAGCTTCGCCGTGTGGGGTGTGTGCATCCACGGCCCCTCCAGGACGGGGATGGGGAACTTGAAATGAGCCCTGTTGATTCAGCCTGTGCCATTTCAGCAGATTCTGGTTCTGGCACGACATGTAGATTACATGATTACACTGATTACACTTTCATGGGGCATGCACGCATGCCCCAACATGCCCTAAATACTAACTAGAGAGTTACAGTAAATAGAAGATGCAGAGGCTCAATGTAGTTCATTCCATTTCGTGTCCAAGCAGGTGAGCATCAAGACCGGGTCTTTGAACAAGCAGCTGAAGCGACACAAGTTCCTGCCCTTCGGAGACAAGTCCATGGAGATCCTTGAAGGCCTTCGGCGTGGTGAGGATGACTTGTTTTGATTTGTGCATCTCACTGGAGAGATGTTATGATATGTAATGATAGGACAGATACATGGATATTGCAGTTGTTTTTTTTATGGGTAAACCGAATGAAATGCATTTGACAATCATTGAGCGTTTTGAGGTTGGGCTTCCCTATACGCTGCAAGTCACTCGCTGGGTTGACATACCCAATGCCTTTGGGTCATGAGAATTCTCCGAGTGCGTCGCCCAAGGTGACGCGCGCGACGGATGCGTTTCACATCCCGAAAGGGGAACTAAACCCTGCCAGACCCATGCTCCATAGACAAATGTGCACCGAATTGCTGGGTCGTCCAGTTGGGGCCACATGGCTTTGCTTGAACCCATCACCACACCTGTGCCCCCTTTTTCTCTCGCACTGGCAGGCACAGCTACGGTCTGCTATGCACCATGGCTCTCAAATGTGAAGTGACATGAATGCAGACACTGGACAAGATCGATCAGGTCCAGGAACTGGAAAGTGGCCCGCCGTTGGAAGGAAGGCGTCGCTGCTAGGACCACAAAGCATTTTGGCCATTTCTGAGGATGGCTGCGGGCAAATGTAGCGAGAGCTTGCTCTTTTGGACGGCCTGCCGGGAGAGGAAGCGTTGGCTACGCAACTCAGAGATTTGTCTGAAGCAATTCGGTTGTAGAACTAACAACATACAATAACACTAACACCGACCCTACAAAATATAGAACATATACCTGCAACCTTAGGAAATTGATCCAAGGCCCCCATCAGGTCTGGGATTAATTATTTGGATTGATTTTCCAAATTCGTGCAGAAGTCCTGAGGGGGTTGGCTACCAAAGAAGTTGCGCAAAACCTCTATGAAAGGTTGTTGGATTAATTAGCTCGCCAGGGGGTGGATTAATTGTAAAAAGGGGAAGCAGAAGACAAATATACTTGAAGGATAGAAAGAACTCGACTACCTGGGGATTAATTTTGTGATTCTTGTGTTCGTGCTGATTGAATCTCAACATGAATCCAAGGTTGTGAAGCGAATCCAACGGTGTGTGAGTGTTGAACCATCCTTTCCTATCCGATCTTTTTTATCAAGATCTGCAAGGCCCTCGTGATTAAACAACTCAATTTCTGATTGATTTTTGCTTGTGATCTTGTCAATTCTCATTTCCTAATCCAGACCTGGAGCAGCTCAGGATTAAATTCATAAAATTACTTAATCCAGGGTAGGGGGTAGATGACCTCCATCTGCCTCGATGTGCCAATAAAATCGTCAATAGTCTCTTTGTGCAATTGTGCAGTGCCCATCAGTTATCAGCTATTTGATGCTATTTGCGTTTGTGCCGTTGGATAAATCAGATAAAGGAATAAATATTCAAAGGGGGCCTTCAACACAAATTCAAAGCAAACTATTGATCCCTTACTTACCAGGTTTGCCATTTGTGTTTGCCCCTCACCACGCTTCAACTAAGGAGCGTGGCCGAATGGGTTTGACCTTCCTGGGGCTCAAAGCAGCTGATGGGAAGCTCCCGCAGGCAGAGGTGTTTCTTCAAACGTAGTCAAAAGCCAGTAGAAATATACATATTGCACATATATATATATGCATATCTTTGGCTCAAGCCATGTTGGATCAGCCACTTTGAAGACGCTCATTGCCACAAAGATTGGACACTCAAGATTTCGACTTAGACTCTTGAGCAAAGAGATGGGCGAGCTACAGGTGATATGCCTATCAGACCACTACCAAGTTTGCAGTTAGTAATCTTGGACTACCATGCGCCTGGGGAGGCCAATTGGCACGCACTACACTGTGCATGTGAGAACAAGCAAGTTGTCGAAGTTACAAGTTTGCTTCAGAAACCACTGAATCCTAATGGGACAGGTGCAGACATTGACCTTCCTGCACCTATGCTTTTTGCTTCAGAACGGGGCCATTTGGAGGTGGTGCGGCTGTTGCTCGAGGTTGGAGCTGACCAGAACGCAGCAATGCAAGACGGGACAACCGCCTTGATGGTTGCAGCTCTGAATGGCCACTTGGAAGTGGTGCGGGTGTTGCTCGAGGCTGGAGCTGACCAGAACACAACAGATCAAGATGGGACAACGGCCTTGATGCATGCAGCTCAGAATAGCCACTTGGAAGTGGTGCGGTTGTTACTCGAGGCTGGAGCTGACCAGAACGCAGCAATGAAAGATGGGGCAACCGCCTTGATGCATGCAGCTCTGAATGGCCACTTGGAAGTGG